TCAGCTTTTTCAACGTTCTTTTTAAATCACAGATGTTGAAGCATGTGACCTGCTGCACGCGCTGCACGAATTCTGTAGCAAGGAAAGAAATACTCAAAAAAAGAAAAAAATCACTCCTTTCTGTTGTCTTTATTTATTTCTCTGTAGAAGTGGGTATGCATGTGTGAGCTTTCATGCATGCATGTGTGTGCTTGTACAATACACGTGAGCCAATCTAACAATGAAGAATCGCACTGGAACCACAACAAAGAACCACAATCACAACATCTGCAGTCTCAACAAAGATACAACTGAGAGGGGAAAAAGTGTGTCGGAGAGGAGATCTCCGACATGTGAACACATTTAGAGACACTAAACTGATTGGATCTTAAAGACACAGGTAACAGTATGGAATCACTCTGCTCAGCCACAGGAAGAAGCCAATAACAGGCCTCCAGTGGAGCCCAACTCTTCTGCTGGTCCTGTGACCCAGATTCTAGCATCAATCAAAGATCGCTGTTTAACATTACATGAGAAGACGTGCCAGCTTCCTGTTTATGTGGGTGTGCAGTGAGCGTGAAACCACACTGTAAAGTGTCACTGAAGTAAAAAAGAAATAGCAAAATTATATTATTATCTAAATACACCAAGAAAGTAATAATGCAACATTTTGTATATAGTAAAGTTATTCATTATGCACAGACTTTCACAAAGGTACAATTTCACCGCACCCTTCTACCTCCACCTTCACCCTCCCTTTCCAGTTCATAATGATGCAGTTTAATTGACATGCATGACCGGGCCCACGTCGGCTGAAGACGAGGCTAAGAGATGCCACTCTACGACTTCACATCCTGCTTCTTTTTCTGGAATTTCCTGAACTGTGACTGGATGGTCACAGCAGCCTTCGCCGTCTCCGGGGCGTCCATGTCGATGTCGAAATCCGGGGGGAGATTGTTCTTCTTTTCTTCTGGGGAGAGAGGAGACATGGAAATGTGAGAGGACAGCAGGACTTTCAAGAGGGGAGTTCATAAACATATCAAAAGTTCCTGAAAGATTTCTCTCAAGGCGCAATCTATGCTGTCCACTTTCACTCTCTGTCTCTTTAGCAATAAGTGGGTGTTCGCTGTTCGGCTAGCTGCACTCAAATGGGAAAATCCACCTGTTAACCGTAACATTGGGGTTGGCAAAGTGATTTATGCGGAGGAGAGCCTGTTTGAGTCACCAGACCGACAAGCTGGGGTCTGACGATCCAGCTTTTTCATCAACAGGCCACAACCAAGAACTGAACCACCAACTTTCCAACCGATGGATGACCTGTTCAGTCTTCTGAGCAAAATGAACCTCTAGTAATGTGACGTCATCTGAATACAGCGCATCAAATGATAAAGGACTCACTACTGCCCCCCTGAGGCTTGTAACATATAATCACCAACACATTTGATCCCAGAGGGTCAAATACTGTTGTTCTGTAAGCTGCAAGTTTGTAATTCCTGTCAATAATTAGGATGTAAACTCATCCAAGTTAAGGAAGTTTGGGGCTTTGTTTTCACTCACTAATTTGTCTCACTTTCACAGGATGGGTTCAAGCTTCAAAATTACCTGGTAAACCTCCCAGATAGCAAGGAAACATTGAAACAACGTTGAGTCAATATCAGGCGAC